TTTTCACTATGGTTGAAAAAATGGCTCCTCAGCCGGGAAATACCATATGCATAATTTTAGAAAAATTAATGTCTTCACTTTTAATTTAAGGGTTACAATTTTTTAATTGGAAGTAGGCCTAATCAAAATGTTATAATAGTTATTTGTTATTTTATATTATACCCCTAAACTTTTTAAAAATCAATCTTTACAAACATTATTAATAAATCCACATAATATAGTAATGTAGGCCTATATTCATTACAATAAGTACAGTTCTCCCTCCAATTAAAGATCCTTCCAATTAAAGACCACCTCTAATTAAAGAAAATATTTCTGCGCCTATACTATTACACAAAGTTAAATGTGAACTTTGTCTTCAAAACTATTTAATAGACAAAACCAACTTTAAACGGTGCTCGTCTTATATTTGAAGTTCGTTATAATTCTCTGCCTCCGTATTGTAAGTTGAGTAAATGGACCGAAGTTAATGAATTTGAATCCCATTAGAAGCTAATGATTTTTCACACTCTCTTGCACATGCGTTCACAGCGAGGAAAAAACATAAAAGCCACACCATAGTGATAATTATGTAATTATATTTTTATGTGTATGGTTATAGTTACCTAGGCATATACTGTTATAGAAGACAAAAACAATGAATCAAATAAAAATTTGAATCTAAAAGAATTGCAATGTTGTACCTAGTTATGACTATAAATTTAAGACTAAAAATAAGGATTTATTAATTAATAATGAGTTATTTATGTCCATATAAATTTTATTAAAAATAAAATTACTTTCCCTGATAGATTTTCATCTATCAGGCTTTTTTAGTTTTATCCTTTTAAGTTATTTAAACACATAATAGTCCCAAAACTCAAGAAAGACAAATTTAATATAGATCATTTTAACCTAAAAGAAGGGCCTCAATGTGTATAGATGGTGAAAGAATATGTTTGTAATAATTAAAACCATGATGAAAATGATTATATTTATAGTAGAGTCAAAATAATGAAGAAAATGCACTTACCCCAAAAAAAACTGCAAGAAAACGTTTTATGATGGTTTTATGTACAATAAAACGTGGAGAATAACATATCAAAAGTTGGCAAGAATCGGACCACCGGAAAGGTTCAAAATATGAGGTAAAACAAAGATGGCCGCCAAATGTATAAAAATGAGTTAAATCTACTCATAAATGTGGAATTCAACAATAATCTACCATTTTGAATGTAAATATTACTAAAAATATTGCATATTTTGCTAGTTGCATATGTCTTGAAGGTGTCTGAAGTGTTTTAAGTGACATCATAACATACAAAATGACGTCATTATGTCAAAAATTACGTCATTATGTTAATAATGACGTAATGTTATTTTTATATTAAATGCAAGTTTATTTTTTAGATGATATGCATAATTAAGTTAATATAATATAAAATTCTTTTAATTTCATAAAAAGACAAAAGATCACGGTCAAATCAGCTTTTAATAAACAAGGGAAATGAACGCATGCCCACTCAAGAGTAATACAGATCAAACTCTTAGCCAATCAGCATCTAGCTTTAGACACATTGAAATCAAACTGCCTTAACAAGATCGTCGATGCTCTGAATGATAAAATGTGTAAATTATTTAATAGGTCAAAAACAAGCAAATTGTGGCTTATCTACCAGAAAATGCTCGGAGTTGCTCGCAAGCTTATCGAAGCTGATCGTACAGGGTCATGGCACACGCATATCCATGCTATATCTGAATGCTTACCCATATTTGCTGCTGCTGGGCACCCAAATTACTTGAAATCTGCATATCTCTACCTCCAGAAATGCCAGGCGTTAGAAACAAATAACCCTGTAGTGTTACAATTCAGAAATGGATTACATGTGATAAGACGCTCCAATCAGTATTGGACTGGCCTTGGATCCGACTCGGTCATTGAGCAGACTCTAATGCGTTCTCTGAAGAGTACAGGTGGATTAACCAGAGGAAGTGGCATGACTGAACACCAAAGAGCCGTTTGGACAATGTCTGCTCCTATATCCTCAGCGTATAACTTTGCCATGCGGGACTTCACTAATAAAGTGTACACAACAAGTGTGCAACACAAAGAGGCAACTGTCTCGTGTATGAAAAGGGACAGGGTAGACTTGGAAAACCTTTCAACCAAGCTTGCAGAATATTCTCCCTTCTCAGAGGAGTCGACAATGAGAAACATTATCACAGGAATAAATGCTGATAAAGACGTAAATGTTGAAGAACTTTTCACCATAGGTGAAGAAATAGTTAAAAATGTGGAAGGACAGTCGGTCTTTTCATATTCATACAGACGCAAGAATAAGGCCAATACGCTAGCATCAGCTCGTCCCATCAAGGTGTCTGAGGATCAAACCATTGATCCAAGTCTCCTGTTTCAAAGGTTCTTGCTATTATCGCAATCTGGGAATCTGCCTAAATGAGGTAATGAAATACGAACTGTCACCATATCCCCCATCTTTGTTTGAAGCAAAGCATATTTTGCGTAAGCCTGAAAAGGCACAACTTCTGAATGCACTACGAAACCACGTCACTTCATCAGACGCTGCAGTACATCGTTCCATCCCCAAAACGGATCATTATGTTCTTGATGGAGGCTCTCTTATCCACAGATTAAAATGGTGAGAAGGGAACACATATACTTCAATTGCATACCTACGCATCTTTTACGCTCAAACTATATGGTCAGGCCACCATAGTATTTGACGGATACAATGGAGGGCCAAGTACAATGCATATCAACGACGAAAAACTCGAGTTACAAATAAGGTCAATATAACAGATTCAACAAAATTTGTTGAAAAAAAAGATTTCCTCTCAAAGGTTATGAACAAACAGGCACTTATCCATCTGATTGCAACCCGCCTGCGTCAGAAAACCTGCCATGTAATACAAGCTGAAGGAGATGCAGATGTGGATATAGTAAAAGCAGCTGTTACAATGTCATCCTACAAGTCAACAACCCTAATTGGAGAAGACACAGATCTGCTGGTCCTGTTACTTTATTACGGAACAAAGGATTGTAAGGACCTCTAATTTCGCTCCGACAAAGACAAAGAGAATCCATACTCTTATAACGTCAAGGTTCTGAAATACTAGGTGATGGTATGTGCCGTGATCTGTTGTTCAAGAATCTATGGGATTGGCAAAAAGTCTGTCTTTCAGAAAGTTACTAAGTGTGACCCTGTCCTGCGTGCATAGTTCCAAAATATTTTGCGCACCAAAGGAAGATCAGCTTACAATAGAAGGAACTGGATGCAAAGTTATGGTATCATTGTTTAATGGGACCCAAACTCAGTCTCTCATATCCGTACGTTACAATTTCCTTTGCAAGAAAGTGGTCACAGCAAAGACTTTTGTAAAACCTGAAAAACTGCCTCTAACAACCTCATCCACAAAATGTAACTCTCGGCGAACATATTTGCAAGTCATGCAGTGGATGGGCACAGACAGTGGTATGGATCCTGCTGAATGGGGCTGGGATATACAAGGCGACAAACTAGTTCCAAAAATGACGGACAATAAACCAGCACCTGACACACTACTCAAAATAATCTGATGCAACTGCTCTGCAGGATGTAGCACAACCAAATGTATTTGTAGAAAACATGGGCTGGAATGCACTGCAGCTTGTGGACATTGCCAACTTTCCAACTGTGACAATATATCACATTATACATTTTCAGATGACGATGACGAAATTGAATATTGACAGTAAAACAGCACTTTAATAAATATCCGTTTCTACAAACAAGTGGGCCTACTGGTAACAACTTTTTGTTTTACCGTTCGTTCGTTAATTTAATTCATATTGCTTTATTATTTATAGTTCTCTGTTCCACTTGATGACTTTATTTATGAGATTGTGACTCTGTGGAGATATGATTTATTTGTTTTTTTACCATTTTGTTCTCTGCTATGAATATTGACATTATTCACTATTTATAATATCCAAATCATGGCTCCGCAAGAGTGCTTAATAGCTGTTATAGGTATTGACTCCATTTTGAACTCTATATTTTATTAAAACACTGCTTGGAATCTTTTTCAATAAATGGCACCGGTATATTCTATGACCAAGAAAACATAGCCACTGAAAATATCACTGTAGAATCACTAGTTTATGATTTATAGTTATACAAAAAAATATATATATATAACGGCCATTTTGGATGCCATTTTAAATTTGTTCATTATCGATCAAAACATATTCTAAGTCTTCTAACAAGTTTCTTGGCCCATAAACATCAGTTTAGAGACAAAATCGCGACTCCAATTAAGAGAAAATTGCCAGATTTATAGCTATTTTTAAGGTATTGGCACCATTTTGGCGGCCATCTTGGAAAAACCATTTTCCGGTGCTCCGATATTTGCCAACTTTTGATATGTTTTTCTCTAGACCTCATTCTACCGAAAAACATCAAAAAACGTTTTCTTGCAATTTGTTTGGGGTCACATGTCAGATTGACCCTACTATTAGTTTCAAACACACGTGTGTGGCCTCAGTATTATAAATAAGATAAGCCCTATGTCGTATTGTTTTCTATATGGGGAGTGGGGTGGGGTGGGTATGGTAAATTACTAACCGGGAAATGAGGATCGTGGTCGTGGTCGTTATTATTATTATTATTATTATTATTATTATTATTATTATTATTATTATGATGATGATGATGATGATGATGATGACGTAATGATGTTGTTTGTACTGTTCTTTAATTTTATTAAAGAGGGCCCCTGAATATCAGTTAACCTATGGGCTAAACTAGAAGGGTTACCCTCTTTAAAGATGGTTGAAATAAAAAATAAA